CACACACACACACACACACAGAAATATACACACGTCCCATCCCCCATCGACTACAGGGAAACGCCCCTTAAAGCATTCCCAGCTCATATTCTCAAAGACTGCACACTGAGGACGCACACACACCAAAATAAAAGCCTTTTTTTCAACGGAATGAGAGAGACCAAAATAACTCCAATATGACAGTTTGGTCAGGCTATATTAGAGGTGATCATTTCATGTTCATACACTTTCATAAATCAGTCAAGGATTGCTTTCTGTGGGTAAGCACAATGCTTCACATACACACAAGCAGGCACACTCACACACACTCACACACACACACACACAGACACACTCACACACTCCTATTTTATGAGCTCATCAAGTCCCCCAGGTCACCAACCGCCATCTCAGCCAGGGATAAAAAAACTCCCATCAAAAGGCTAACCATTTCACACACGCATGTACGTGCGTATAGCATGCGCACACACTTGGCGTGGCAACTGTGGCAGCATTAATTTCCTTATGAATGCACTTGCTAACACATAATAATCCCAAACACGGCTGGGAGACCACCAAGCAGCACACACACACACACACACACACAGCCAGGGGGACCACCAAGCAGAGGGGCTGTCAAGAAAAGATAAGTGTGTGTCTAGCATCAGGGTTTTGCGTAGACCCACCACTACACACATGTACACCCACACACACACACACACCACAACAACAACACACAGCCTGGCCTGTACTCCTGGAAAAGCTCTGGCTTATCTCTCCCCACAGATAGTGAAATGGATTAAGAGCCACATTTGGCACGTCCAGAGAACTGGACAGATAACCAGGAAAACACTCTGTCTAACTGCAATCACTGCTCAACATGATTTGTGTGTGTCTTTCCCTCTACGTGTGTGTGAGAGAGAGAGGATGCATTTTAGCTTGCCCATGCTCCCCCATGTGTAGGCATTGGATCAATAGCCGTGTCTATGTGTGAGCGTGTGGGCATGTGTGTCTGGAGGAGTGATGCAGTGGTTGACCCAGGACCCAATCCGTTAGAACACACACATTCATCTTCCAAACACACACAGCGTGCCCAGACAAAGAGCTGTGTGTGAGGGGACGTTCAGCATGTGTGTGATGTCAGCTGGAGACAGAGAAGGGGAGCCCATCATATCCCTTTTATGTGTGTGTGTTTGTGTCTGTGTGTGTGTGTGTGTGTGTGTGTGTGTGTACTGGTCTGTCCCCTGACACAAGGCGTCTGCTCATTGACCTCCCTGGTTATAGATGCCTGCTATGAAGATGATAGGTGGGTGAGATTACCTTTAGGACTGGGAAATTACATCTTTTTTTTCTTGTGACCAAAATCATTCCCTTGTTCACTACCACATTCATAATGGACACTCAGCAGTTTACTTTAAGGTGAGATCTTCACTCTATGTCATCACTGGTACGACGTTGTTATTTCATCTATAAAATGCAACACATTCCATTGTTTGAATTTTGAGGACACTAAATGCTACACATGCTGGACATTCACATAAAATGGCGAGGGGTGAATAAAGTGCACTATATAGTAAATAGAGAGTGATTTCATACACAGCCAGTGTTTGAATCCATACAATTTCTTACACTATGCAAGCACCAATTTTGCCTCGTTCTCTGCTGAATTAGTCATTTGTGATCAATTTACATAACCCCCATTTGCATCTATTTTTACTATTGTTGTTGCTGGAACATGCCAGTTTTGCTACATAAGTAACAGAAAGTTTGACGTTGTTATCAGTCATAGAATGGAAGTTGCAAATTTTTCAAAAGAAAAATTGCTAAAAGAGCGCCATTTCCATGTCTTTCTTTGCACCATTCTGCATGTTTGCCTACTCTGTCTGTCTGTCTCTCCCCTTCTCTGTCTATTAGAGTCAAATCTCTGTCTTAATGGACATCTATTGTATCCTACCGCTCCCCCTTCTCTATTCACCACACTACCACACGCACGTACACACTCCCTCTGAGGGGGCCCCTTAACCAGGCTCTCCATATGCCTGACCCCCCCCCCCCCCCCCCTTCTCCTCCTCCTCTTTCCACAACCCCCTTCTCCTCTTCCCATCTCCTGCTCAAACTCTGGCTTATGCTCTGTTGCTGCTGCTGCTGCCCCACGCTGCCATCTGCTACAAGACAACAGAGGGTGAGAGACGGAGGAAGAGGAAGAAAAGAGTGGTGAAAAAGAGTGCGTGAAAAGAGGAAGACATGAGGGAAGAAAAGACTGAGGGGAAAAGCGGAGAAAGAGGGACAGATAAAAGAGAAAGAGAGAAAGAGGGAGAGAGTAGATGTGAACACAATACAGCAGAGAGCAGAGAGGCTGTCCATCTGCTCCCCCTCTCGCCTCCCCTCCCCTTCTGACACAGCCTCACACACACCACAAAGAGAGTATTTAACCTCAACGCACACACACATACACACATGTGAGAGTGAGACAGAGAGACAGAAAGCAGCCCAGCCTCTCTCTTTAACCCGTTCCTCTCCAGTGAGCCTGCCTGTATTACACCCTTGGGGTGGCAGGTGATGGGTGGATGGAGGGAAAAGGATGTAGGGGGGGGATGGGGGGGCCTGATTGAGGGACAGAGTGTAGGGAATGAGGGGTTGAAACTGATCTGGATCAACACCAACACATCCTCCACTCCCCCCCCTCCACCCCCAAACCTCAAATCTCAATAGAGACCAGCTTGCTACCCCCGTCACTATGACAACCTCTGTCAATCATACTGTAGCAGTGAGTTTCCAATTGGGGACCGATGGCGGATTAGGAATGGCTGCCCAAATATAAGAGTGCAGGGTTCAGCTCACTCAGCTCACTCATGGATTAAACACGCCTCTTCATACTTTATTTACAGAAAGATGACAGCAGGACGGACATACTCATAAGCCACTATGTGGTGAGACATCCTGCAGACTACTCGCTAACACTGTGGGTGACGTCAAAATCTGGCTATATGACAAAGCAACACCTCCGTGCTTTCCTTCCAATTAGGTTGCAACTACGCATTTGAATCATCGCTCAGACTTTAAGCACAAGGTGTCAGATGTGGTCGGTGATTTCAACCAATGTTCCAATTATTTTAAAAACCAAACATACATTCATGTAGAGCAGCGGTTTCCAACCATCTTCGGCTTATGAAGAAATCAATTTCCAACCTCTTGTCACCAGCTGCAAAGGCTTACTGGGTTTTTTTGGGGGTTTTTTACCAATTCAACCAAAACAGGTTTTCCTTGCTTTATTTGAATGTTGTTTAGAGTAGTTCATTGGAAAAAATGATTAGCTTTGCGTAGCAGAAATACACTATATCTGATGTAATTTCATTTTAAATTTGAGTTAGAACCTGAACCAGAAGACTGAAGCACAACAGAACAAAACGCGTCCCAGCATCACGCTGACATGATCATGCTGGGCCTGTCGAGCTCAGTGCCATTGAGATGGCTGTCAGGTTTGGACACACACACCACTGTGTAGGTCAACACACACTACAAACACTAGATTCCCCCAAGGACCTTTACGTACACAGTGTTACACACACGAAACATCAGTGTAGTGTGTAAAAGGTGTGATGGAGGAGGGGGATGAAGGGGCGTGACCCACAAAAGCTGATTTCATGAGAGGAGAGGAGAGGAGACAGGAAAGGTCTCTGTGCATATGACCACAAATGGAGAGAGTAGACACCAGCTGTCACTTGCTTATGTCAGCCCTATTCTCAGCTCTTATGAGTGTGAGTGTGTGCTTGTGTGTATGTGTGTGTGTGTGTGTGTGTGTGTGTGTGTGTGTGTGTGTCCCTGTGTGATCTCAGGTAGCCACGACTGGTTTCAATTACGCAGCAAACTTTGACCTTGTGTAACCAAGCAGGGAAATGGGCTACTGAGGGAGAGAGAGGGAGAGAGAGAGAGGGGGAGAGAGACAGAGAGAGAGAGAGAGAGAGAGAGAGAGGGAGAGAGAGAGAGGTGGAGCGTATGAGAGAGGGAGTGGTCAATTCAAAGATGTTGAGATAGAAAAGTGGAAACTCAACCTGAAGAAAAAAATACTGTATAGGACATACTACACACCTACTAACATGAGACCTGAGGGGCAGTGCTTCCAGAGATGGGGACTTACCCTTTTTCTGGGGGGTCCTCGTTCTTCGTCTTTCTGGCCCCGCCCTGCTCCGCCTCCTGTTCGTCCATGCCGCCCCCCTTTGCCCTCTCCAGCTGGAGGTCTGATGGTCATCCTGATTTCAGGTGGGCAAATGTAGTTCTCAAGGTTCTTGGGGGGCTTTTTGGTGCGCTTGGTGGTCTGAATCTTCAGCTTTAGACTTCCTTCCTGGAAACTTGCTTCCTTGATGGAGAACTCCTGTTCCTCCAGAAGCCCCTCCCCCTGTTCCTCTGGCCCCTCCCCTTCACTTATGGCACCGTTAATCACATCATCGCTGCGCGCCAAACCGATGGCCCTTGCTCCTTCCTGTGCCTCTTCATTCGGCCCCACCCTGCCTCCCTGTAACTCCGCCTCTTTGGGTCGGGCCGAGCCAACCAGGTCCCTTGGCTCCATCCACGCTCCCGCCAGTGCCAGTCAGGATGGGGGAAGCTGTGGCAGCCAGCCAATAGGAAGATAGAGAACAGTTGTCTGTCGGGCTGGTTGGCTGTTGTCAGTCAGCTACTGGGGGTGGGTTGGACCCACAGGAACACAGCGAAGCCAGGGACAGCCTGCAAAGAGAGCAGGTGAATTATACGATTAGGAAAAGAAGGGTGACTAAAACAGTGTCCTGTCATCCACATATAACTTCCATTCCAGTGCTACCTCTCAGCTCAGCACAGGCCTGTCTGCTGTCATCAACATCATCAGCTGCCTGTTATGTATGTAGACAAACACACAAGCTCATCACAGAGCTGTGGGGGCATGCTGCAGCGCTCTGATTTGCATTTTGTACCTTGCATAAACTCATTTTTGACACCCACTACCACTTGCCTCCCTCTCTCTCTCTGGTCTCTTCTTTACTCACTCTTTGCTAATCTTGTCTCCCTCCATTTCGTTCTGTCCCCCACGACAGATCTGAAGCACAGTCGGGCAGACACTAGAGTGATCAGCGCAAAATAAGACATTCCTCTTCACTGCTCTTAAACCAGGCTGAAGTTACCCGGAGGATACAAGACAGAAAAAAATGAAAGAAGCTGACTTTTGTTTTTCTTTTCTTTTCACCAGAGCAGGGAAGGAGGGAGGGAGTCACAAATAGGGAGAAGGGAAGGCAGCAGAGAAAGACAGAGGGAAGGAATCTAAATTCTTTCCCCAGATGTGGTTTACGAGCTGGTCTGGAAAAACCAGAGTCTGAACTGTTTTACACACGCATGCAGTGGCATTGATACACACATGCATGAAAAACTTGCACATTAATACACATACAAAGGACAGTGTTGCAGAGCACACTTATGCACCCCTGCTGCTATTTCTGCTCTCTAGAGAAAATGTTGTGGTAGCCATTTCTCACGGGATTCAGGTTTTCCTTTTCGGATCATTGCGTATGCCGGCGCAGATATATATTACATACTTACAGTGCATCAACACACATACACACAGATGTACTTACACAGTCTTACTTACACACAGGTGTATAAACAGAAAGCAACCAAAACAAACACTGGACTACACTTCTCACTACAGCTCCAGGGAATCCCATCAGTCAATATGACATGAAGCATGACTGAGCTGGAAGTGGGGAATGCTGTCTCACACACTGAGCCTAGACTGACACCCTTTACACTGATGTGAACCCAGACTAGACCCCTACCTGCGGACATGACTCAAGTAAAAGCTTACTGCAGACTTACAATGCTTACAAACCCGAGAGCACAAAAGGTTTACAGTATATACTGAGAATTACCCACCTCCTACAATCTGCTAATATACTCTCTGACATTCTGAAAGAAGATGTGTGTGTGAGTGTGCACTCTTGTACCAGCCCCCGCTACTGTACTAACAGCTGATCCCGTCATAATACCCAACAGGCCCCACAGCACATGCTTACAGGCCATCAATCCAGCTAGACCCGCTTATCCTTTTAGAGGGTCCCAGCTGACATTGGGCAAGAGGTTAGGTACAGGACAGGTCGCCAGTCAATTACAGGGCACACATGGGCAATTTGGAGTCGCCAATTAACCTAACCTGCATGTGGGAGGGAACCAGAGTAAACCCAGGTTTAAACCCAGACCCTTCTCGTTGTGAGGCAAAAGCACTAAATACTGTACCACCATGCTGCCCCGTGCTTACAGTGTGATGGAATAATCATAATCCACAGCGGTATTTAAGTGTAAGACTGCACATAAACAGAGTCCAACCCTGAGGTCAAAGTCAATGGTCAGTCATTTTAACTTCTGCATTTGCTCCATTAAATAAAAATGAAAAGGTTTGTTTCTACTAAACCCTCTCTTTAGCCGTAAAGTTTGCCAATCTGAAACCACAGTGTTTCAAAGCTGACTCATAAGGGTTGTTGATGTAGGTTCTGGTGACCCCATGGCGGTTAAGAATGAAAAGGACCTAAAGCACCATACAGTGGTTTTGCATGTTTAAGCTTGTGAACTCCATGTCACTTATACTACACGGCCAACTTTATACTGCCAGTCATTTTCCAAAACATACAAATGCTTTTTCAGATTGATTTCCAACTTTCCTGGAAGTCATTGATTTTCATTCATTAAGTGCAGTATGAAAAGGAACTTGAGTCTCAAGTCTGCCTTATTCTGTATTATTTTCACATGGTAATACATTTCTTTCTACACTGTCATTGTTTGTCTTTTGAGTTTGATGTCAAGACAACAAATATTGAAAAGTAAAATCTCAGATGTCAGAGCCTACTTGATTCAACTCTTCGACTAAAAAGTTATAAAACAGCCCCTGCTTGCTGCATAAACAGGACGGCGAGGGTTACATCAATCAGTAACACTGACGCGCACGTAGATGAGGCTGAATGTTCAGTTTGATGGATTACCAGATGATTTTCATACCCCATTAAGACCAATAGAAACCACTGGCTGCCTGGAAGTTGGGAAATCAGTCCAAAAACATATGGTGCACTTCGGGAAAAAGTCAGAAGTGATGTACAGTGTAGATCATTTGCATTTAATGGACTGCAACATGCAAAAACCACCACTGTGGTCCCTCAGTAATGTTTTAGTATTCAAAGTTTTACAGGGATAACCAACAGATAGAGAGTCCAGGCTCAGTCCCAACTTGATCATGCAGTGCCCACATGACCTCCAGGAGCCTCCCAGTCCCTAATGTCAGCTTGGTGACTCGCTCTCATGGCATGTGTGAAAGCCAACCTGTCTGTCATTCGACTTAGGACAATGACAGGAAAAAGAGACAGCTGCCAACTACAACATAACACACACACACACACACACACACACACACAAAAGAAACCGCTATACTTTGGGTGGCGCTCTTAAGACTCCTCTCACAAATATAAGCCAGTGTGACAACAAAATGGTGTCATGCATTAGTACATTCTTCATTCTGGGCCATTACTGTGTAAACCACTTAACTGGGTCATATTCCTCCTCCTTCCCTGCTGCTTGCTGCCCAAAGCTGTGTTAGTTCTCTGTTACTGGCAGACAGGCTGAGAGTTTATGTAAGTCTGACCCCTCCTCGGGCCTCCCTCGCCTAGCCTGAGCCTCACTGTCTCCTCTCTCTCTCTCTTACACGCAAACACACTGATGCACACACACATACACACCTCGACTAGCCTCAGACAGCAGGGTGATTGTGAGAGGCCAGACTCACTGCATAAATAGCTTTATTATGTTCTCAAAACTACCAGCGTTAACCAGCTTCCCTCTCAAAAAAAAAGCATAAGGTCATCCGCTGTGCTGGATGTGAGAGGCTGTGAGTGAGACGCTCCTCCAGCATGTTGCCTTGCCCTTTGAAAAACAATTATGATAAAGCATCGATAATGGAATGCAGATGGACAGAACAGAGATGGTGAATGATACAGACAAAACAGAGGATGACAGAGTCTGAGTGTGAGTGAGAAACAGAGTGAGAGGGAGAGAGAGATGGCAGCAGAAACACAACCTTTTAAGGCTGCATACCCAGCAGCCCAGTGCCTGAGGTGGACTCAAAAATAGCTCATACACACTAGCAGACAGATGCGCACACACAGGCTCACACATTTACACATCCACAAGCACACCAAACGCCCGTGTGATTGCACAAGGTGAAGAGTCTCTTTTTCTCCTTTTCTTTGATGTGAGAGTGTAGTAGAGGCTCTGCCATCCCTGGCTGTAGATGAGTATCTCAGAGGGATGATGAACGTTGTCTGTCTGCCATTTTCATTTTTCATTTATCTCTTTTTCTCTTTTTCTCTTTTATTCCAGCCCCTCTAGTAAAGGGGCAATCACGTAAACCAATGTTTCTAGAAGGATCCAATCTTTGGTTGGAGACAAATCAAAAGGAATGGCCCCGGCCTTTGAATACTTCCAAATCCAATGGGCACAAGCACGAGTTTTCAAACTGGAAGTCTATTAGTCCTCTGTCTCAGAGCACAGCACGGTGAACGAAGCCATCTTTTTACCCTGTCCACATCAAAGAGCGTAGTGTGTTTTTTTAAGTGACCACTAAGAACTTCTATTTGGATTTGAAAAATGGAATAAAACCCTTTCCCTTCCCCAGCTTAGGAAGGATGGCACACGCATGTGTTCAGCTGTAGGGCAGCTAGAAAGACAATCATAAAGTATGATGTGCGGGACAGCCGTAATCGACAATTATGGCCTTGCAGGCGCTCTGTGCAGTCCCGCATGCACACGCTCCTCTGGATGAGCCATATGCCAGGTAACACTAAAACCATCCTCACCTAACTACCCCGCAGAAGCAGATGAATGTTAAACCATTTTAACTGCAGCAGAAGCCACAAAATGGCTGTCAGCAAAAACACCTCCCCTTCTCCCCAACTGTCTTCCTCCTTCCCCTCACCTCACCCCCTCCCCAAACCTCTGTTCTCTCCCCTCTTCTCCGTGCTACCTCTCTCCTTTACCCTCCTACCTCTCCTCTCCCTCACTCCCTCCCTCCCTCCCTCTTTCTGTGTGCTCTGCCAAAAGGTGCTCCAGTGCTGATATTCTGCTAAGAGAGCCTGCCAACAGTTAGATTTGTCCTTGGATCCCGTTCACATTCCCTCCTCCCCTCCTCTGTGATCCTACTTCGACCCGAGGTATCCAGCTCAGAAGGGGATACACCTAATCAGTTTCTCATGCTTTCATTTAAAGGTGGCATGGGCATCTCATTACCTAATATGGGGTTTAATAGTCTTCATACTTCATACTTCATACATTTTTACGTCACAAAAATGCTGCCGGAGTTTCAACAAGACAAGATCAATGGTTCTGTCCGAGTCTGAATCACCTCTACGATCAATCCCTCAAGCACATTTCTTTACATCTAGTCACGCACTTCTCTGACAATTGCCTCCTCTCATGCCCTTGTCCTTCTTCTTCATCCAGCGCTCATTTCCACACCGTCATTCCCTGAACATTTTTCCACACTTTCCCTCAGCTGGGCTTGTCTATTTATCTTCTGGTGCTGTGGTTGTGGCTGAGGTTTTTTTTTTGGGGGGGGGGGGGAGCTGCTGATAACACTGGCATACTCTCATTCACTTTCTCCAGTCATCTTTCTCCACACAGCCAGAGCATGGCCAAAATGTCTGACCCCCCACGTGAAAGTGATCAGCTATTGCTAAACGTAACCAGAGCGGAGGAGCGCTGGCTTCCACCAAGCCCACTACATGTCATTTGTATGTACGCTGGCATCCCTGTACTCACGCTACAGTGGCGTGTGTGGACTTTGTGCTACATTTGAAAAACAAAACCGACTGAATGCAAAGTGAGGAATGAAACACACTCCTCGCATACTGAGTGTGCTTCAAATAGCAACTTCCACAGCACTTGACATCATTCATGTGGCAGTTGAGTTGTCCCTCTCCAGCCTCCACAACTCGACCAGAACAAGTAGATCCATCCAAACCAGAAATATTTAAAATATGCTGTAGGATACAGTTAAATATGACGTAACTCTTGACAGACTGAAGGAGAACCAACCATCGGCTCTCTCATGCATGCATGTCACAGACTGTGACGCTATGTGATGGACTATGAAGGTGCTGGATCCAGTAGAACAACATTTGAACTAAGTGTGAACAGCCGTGGTTGAGCTGGTCCTTGATCAACGTGTAGTGGACACTTCACCCCATTGACCTAATTAGCTGTTTATCTTAGTACTATCTAATTACCAAGGTATTACACAGTGTGCGTGGAGACTGAGTGGTACAGCATTGTTTTGGGCGGTCTGTGTCTACGTGCGTGACTGTGCGCGTGGTGCTCTGAGTATGTGCACGCGTGCGTATGTTTAGTCGGAATTTGTTGGCATGTAACTACAAGCAATTCCACATATTTCACGTCAATTACACAATAAAAACGGCAGAGACATAGCATAATATATATCGAACAAACTACTTTGGTGCAGGTAGCATGTAAAAAGCAAAGGTGAAAAGCAGACACATATGAGTTATTAACATTTATAAGAACATGAAACACATTTGTAGAAAAGGTGTATTCAGGTGTGGAATGTGGCGAGTCAACCGGGACTACTTACCCATGTCTAATGTTGTCACACACTCGGCTCTAACGTGTAAATATTTTATCAAGATCATTTACAATCCATTTAGACACATTTTACACAAGCGACGGATGGGATGACAGCCTCCCGGGGAGCTGTCAAACGGTGCCAGAATTATGTCCAATCCTCAGAAATAAGATCTTTAGAGGCTCGTGCGGATTGACTCGTGCGGTGGGAGCCGCGGCGGTGCAGAGAGCGTCTCCCGGTGCCTTGCAGGATCACTGGTCACTCGGGGAGCTGCACAGCGCTGAGATCCCTCGCAAATCCGCTACTCGGTTGGTAGGGTAGGAGAGGGGGCGGGGGGGAGTTGGACTATTACTGCAGTCAAAACAAGCCCGCATCCGACTACAAGCCCAAATCCAGCGGGAAAATGTCAGCAGCCAGACCGCGCTATCATCCGTCAGTACGGGAGACTGAGGAGCCGAGGCAGGAGACGGTGGTTTGGGTCGCTTTCAACCTCGCCGGTTGCATCGGATCAGGGTTTTCTCTCTCTCGCGCTCTCTCTCTCTCTCTCTCTCTCTCTCTCTCTCTCGCTCTCTCTCTCTCTCTCTCTCTCTCTTTGCTTTTCCGATCGGTGAATGTCAGGTCCCGGAGCCTGGTGTCTGGTAATGATCTCACCCAGCAGACTGAAAGCTCAGTGGCAGAGCAGAGGAGAGAGGAGAGGAGAGGAGAGGAGAGGAGAGGAGAGGAGGAGCGACATCGCCTCCAGCTGGCAGCAAACACGCTCAGCGCGTCTCCTTTTGCAACCTTCCCCTAAATCCCATGGCCTTCTCCTGTGGGACTGTAATACAAAGGGTGAAAGCAACATCTGGCAAGAGGCCTGCTGTTTTGACTGAGTCACTGTAAGGACTGCGTGAAGTTTTGCACTTTTTTCAACAAATACTGATGCATGCCTGCATAGCCAGCAGAACTTTAGAGTGTGATATGAAATAATTATTTTTAACATGAATATGTGTTGGATAAACGTGTAGGATCATTATAAATATTGAATTTTGGTTAAAAATGTCTGAAACAACAACGATTAAATGTTTATATATTACTTTTGCTGCTTTGGCAGTTCAACAGATGATGAGTTTTACCAAATCAGAGGCTTGAAACCTGGTCAATCCTGTTTGGGTCAGTCGCTACACCACTTTGCTGCGACATTGACCAGATAATAGTCTAATACCAGAGAATGTCAGACTCCATTTGAACATCTATGGTCCTTCTTGGTGAACTCACAGGTATACCTCTCAGAAATATGAGGCGGGGAAGGTCCTCACTTAACTTTAGTTTAAAGTGTCTGTCCTGGCCAAGATAGCAGCACCGCATTCTACATTCAACACAGAGTTTGCAAAACACATAACACAGAATTAGATTAAATATTAAAAGAATAGTTAAGGTTAACAAAAGACTTACACTTATTGCTAAATTGCCAATTTAAATATGAATGTAGACACACAGTGGATTCAAATTCTTCAAATGTAAATACATGAAATGAATGAATAACATCCTACAAAACCGATGATCACAAAATAGGCCTATCCTCAAAATGAATAGTTTTGAAGCACAGAGAGCTAAAGAGAATGGATCTAAAGTGTGAGAAAGAAAATAATCAGTGGTTCCACTCTCTCATCTACAATGAGACAGCCATGCAAACCTCTGCTGAGTCATTACTAAAAACATAAATCGAATCAGATGTTTTATTGCACATCCTCAGGGAAGTTTTGACATGAAACATTTTGCAAACCCGTGGGCTAACCTATAAATTATGTTTATCACCATTGTCTTAACGGTTTGCCCATAAACCGAAACTGCTTGGATGACTTGAGATGATGTTATTTGACAGGCGCAGTATAATTAAGTCCAATTTAACATGTGTGATCACTGAGACAAAAGTTGCCACAACACTCGCTTGCTTCAGAAGACAGGAAGGGTGTGTGAGCAGAATTGAGCGGGTGAATAAAGGTAGATTAAGGTGTGCCCGTGTGCTGGTGCTTTCCCTTTAATATGTCAAATTACAGCAGGGCAGAAAATCCACATCAACCAACCTTGAACAAGCCACAGTTGTTCCATTACAGTAATTCATCATTGTCAGAAGTTGTGTTTATATTGCATCTCCATGCAAACCTTGACCTTCCTTGTATGGAAAACATCCTTTAACATTAACAAGTAATGCAAATGATGTCAGATGACCTTTCCCTCTCGGTGCCCCACAGTTACTAGCTGTTTCTCATCCCCGGCGTGTGAGTGTGGGTGTGCATTTGCCTGCGCATGCCCACATGTTGAGCACCCACAGGGAGGTATTTCATTAGCCGGGGTGGTATTTGTGATTGTGTGTGCTCAGTAACATGTAAACACTCAGCACAGTTTCAAACTTCAAAAATGTGCAATGCCATCGGTGGTTTGGCTGTTGTTACTTTTCACTTCCCCTGCTGTGGCACATTGATTAGATTTACAAACGTGTTATGTGTGTATAAAGAGTCTCTACTCATTGGGAGTGTTTTCATAACAGCAACTCTGTATAACCCATTCACTCACTTATGGGCATGGGGCCACTATTGTATTACTGCATGTGTGTGTTTGTGTGCATTTGAACTACATCTTTATGAGGTCCAAATGCAATTATTGTGAGATTATTATCATTATTGCTCCTTGCTTTTAAGATAATTCTGGGTTATTTCAGGGAATGATGTTCAATAAAGAACTAGAGTTATAACTGGGTTTAGGGTTGTAAGCTGAGCTCAAAATTAAAATCAGGATCATGGTTAATGTGGATTGTAGGGTTTTGGAGATAAATTCTAAGACTGCACGAGTATAGAATAACAAATGAGTGTGTGTGTGTGTGTGTGTGTGTGTGTGTGTGTGTGTTTGTTCACATTCATGTGTGTCTATTGATTTGGGATGTGTGCAAAAATACAAAGAGACCCCTGAGAGTGAGGGGTCAACAGCTGCTCCCCAACAACCAATCAATTGCAGTGTATCAGTAAACATTACACATAGACACACATGCAAACACACACACATGGCAAGATACAGACCGCACTCTGTTCTTGAATCTGTTGCCATGGATACAAGATACAGGCAGCCAAGAGGGAGCAGTTTTCCAGCTTAAACTGTAAATATTGAATTATGATGGGGAAGAAGGAGACAGCGGAGCAGGGCAAGGCTCCTGTCTGAATGATCTAAATATCTAGATAATCCTTTCATCTCTATTCACCGCTACAGGAAATCTGTTGCATCATTCATGTTCATCAAGTTCAACATAAAAAGATCAATCTGTCTTCCCGATGCAGCCATTTATCTAACTCTCTATTATACAGACGGAGAGCTGGCCCCATTCCTTCATGTCTCCCTGCCTTTTTGTCGGAAACATCTTCACTCCCTCAAGTGGGATGCAAAGTAAATGCTTCCCCATGCCTGATTTGCAATACATAAAAGTGAATCTCATTCAAACCACTTTACCAAATGCCGAGGCTTTTATGTGGCAACAGTTCCTCTGTGGTTTCATCGATGGGGAGAAAGGAGATTGAGATGAAGAAGTGAAGAAAAAAAACAGATTTAACAATTAATAAATGCTTTGGCAAATGTTTTAAGTGGGGCCACTGGAGAGGAGGATTTAGAAAGGAAGAAAAGAGAGGCTCTGAAGGTGAATGTCAATAATTGGTTGACTGTCTTTATGAATAATATAAGCAGTGGAGTCAGCAGAGCTTAAATAATAATAATACACTGGTATTCATAACAAAGCTACAGCACTTGACTGCGCCGGGAAAGACAGAGTCAACATGCCAACCTTGAGCTGACATTGTGAGCAGGAGAGACTCACGTTCAATCAATGAAGGGGCTTCTCTCAGGGAGTCCACTAATCTCACAGGGCAGCAGAGGGTTCATCAGCGCTGAGAGACCCCTGGGACTGACAGAGGTAATGGGCTTAGCTGAGAGAGAGGAAGAGAGTGTGCACGTGTGTGTGCGTGTGTGCGTGCAGGAGAAAAGGTTGTCGCCGTGAGTAAGACATTGAAAGCATGCAAGGAACAAGCAATTGTGTGTGTGATAGTGTGCCCTTGTGTGTTGCAGATACAGATGTGAGAAACAGTGCATATGTGTGTGTGTGTGTGTGTGTGTGTGTGTGTGTGTGTGTGTGTATGTGTGTGTGTGTGTGTGTGTGTCAGAAGGAGCAAGGGCTATGCTGATAGAGTGAGAAGTTAATGGGACGTGTGACAAGGTTGATTACTGAGGCCTCAGTGATCTGGCTGGGTTAATGAAGTAAACGACTTCTTGGATAACACACTACTCGGGCTATCTCCTGCTCTTGATACACTTTGATGAACCAGAATGGCCTTTTCTTCTCCCTAATTTACCTACCTACTGTTTGAATCCACCCTGGAACCCACATTTCACACATCCTCTATTTGTATCTCCAAATGCATTTCCCTACTGTTCACCAGTAATTAAGACAAAAAAACTGAACATATAGGCAACACTCAGCAATTCATTAAAACAGAACTGCTCGGCACACAGTGTACAGTCTCTCTGAAGGACTAAAATGACCACCTGCTGTTTGCACATGCAGTCACACTTGCATATACAACGCGAGACACACACACACACACAAACAAAGGGAGAGAAAAAGTTATTGGAAGACTTTGTTCTCCATTTGGGGCTGAGATAGAGATTCCTCTAATGAGAGCGATAACGACGTCTGAGAGGAGATGCAGACCAGAACAAAACAACAACGCAGATGGGAGCTAAAACAACAACAAAGACAGCCCTAAATGCAGTTGACTGCGGACTCCCCGCTGGCTCTGTTTATGTGAAGAGATGACACTGCGCCCATCCCCCTGCTACTTATAGGGACATTATCATAATGTTGTCTCTGTATGAGCCGAGCTATCAAGTGGGCTCATCTTGAAGTCCTCCACAAGCCTGTATGCTGATGCCTCAGATGCTGGAGGAAGACAATAGAGAGCAAAAAGAATAAATTCTGCCCTAATATTTATTCAAACTGACAGTTCTGGCGTCTAACAATGGAGCCCAGGACTGACAGCACCAATTTGATGAATCTCTGCTTTTATTTGTAAACAAACGGCAGCAAGGAAGATAATGGTTGTTCTTCTGTTTGTCCTTCTGCTCTTGTCACTACAGACATTTGCAAAAAAATAAATGTGAAATGAGCAAAGTGAATAATGTTGTGGACTGTGAGTGGTTGCAGTAAGTCACTGTCAGAAGTTAGATACATTTGGGTTCAATCCTGGCTTTTACACTTTATTAAGTAAAAAACATGCAACATATTAAGAATGAAAGCGTCCATTATACGCATGAATAATGAATAATTAGTTCTCAGAAACAGATATTGTTTGTCACGATTTGTGTGAACCTTCACACCTCAAACATCCACCCTACAACATCCTGTTGTGTTATAACTGTGCATGTGGTCAGATACAGCTGCATTTGTGTGCGTGTTTGTGTGGGCCTGTGTGAGAGAGTCAGAAACAGAAACAAAGAGGAAAACTCCCTTGATGAGAGAACACTGCCACATCCCCTGAGACTCTGAGAGTAAAACGCAGACAGAGACGTAGCAGGTGTATGACACGGATCGCTGCGATGGCGCTGAATCATTTTTTCACCTATACACATTCAGTCAGTGTATCGAAATTCCCTTTCAACCTTATCTTTCCAATATTTTTTCCTAATAGAGGGCAAGTAATCCAGCTAAAATGTCCAATGGAGCAATATGACCAACTAAAACAGAAAGAGGAGGTTAATGTACAATAGCCAAAATTCTGTCCGAAATTCATCCTAATCTTTTCAGATGTGTTTAGGGCAGACTGAAGCTTTTGACAGTTTTATTTTCTTTCAGACATGGGCTTTGGATTTTCAGATGTTGTTTTCTGCATTGTGATCTGATATGCATGGTTTGTGGATGGTGGTGGTGGTGGTGGTTTAATCAAATCTGCCAGTTGTTAGTGTGTGTGACAGAACTAGTGTTAGACAGGGTTATGCAAAGAGGAAATTAACTGTAAAAAAATAAATAAAACATTGTCAGGGACCAACTGAAGGCCTCCTCTTCACTCTCTCAAAGACAACTTGCCAGATTATCATGGCTATACAATCAGTGTACAGTGTTGAATGAAGTGGCCACATACCACAGGCACACACAAACACAAAAAACAACTGGCCTGCATTTGTTGTTCACTGTACATTGTGTGAATACTGTCCCGTCTGAAGCTGCCTCCCAGCAGCAGGATGTGGTGGTGCGACACGTCCTCACTTAACAACACCTACTTCCTATGAGTTTGATAAACAGCCCTGTGGTTTCACTTTCCTCCTGCCCGTCAAACAGAGGTAGGCCTAAAGACACACACGCACACACACTAGCTCAACAGCATCACCATCTGCTAATGTGACATATAACCAGAGTGAGTTATTGTGTGTAATGTTACCCATGCTATCATGAGATTTACTGTGAAAAACTGTGTAAACGCCACCAGAATCACTTATGCCTCCATAACTCAGCTGCCACTCTCCTCACCCACAGCCTCAGCAAGAGACTGAGAGGGATGAGCACAAGAATGCCCTCAAATCATAACAAGAATTAGAGGAGGATATCAAGATGCCACATTTGTTTTAGAGCGAATGATGTAAGTGGGTCTGAGTTATGTCCGCCACCGGACAGTTATGTTCCATGTTTAGGCCGCCTGTGCGTCCCTAAAGGTTGATGATACAATGCCAGTAAAGATTTAGACTGCTGCTGAAGTCTCTTCTCTTCTCTCCTCTCCTCTTCTCTTTTCTGCATGGTTGCATGGGCACATACGGTCCTGTCAGTCACATCTGTGAGCTGTCAGGATATGAATGTGCAGGCATCTGAGAGAAGACTGAGGGGTGTATTAGGCCTGCTGATCCTTCACACCCCTCTTGTCAAACTTAACATGAAAATGAAAGTCAGTGGAAGAGAGAAAGGGTGCATGTGAGTTTGTGTGTGTGTGTGTGTGTGTGTGTGTGTGTGTGTGTGTGTGTGTGT